TTTTTTAAATAAATAAATTCCCTATTTTCTTCCCAATCTTCTCTTATTTTTAATCACCCCTCAAACATTTTACCCTTGATTTGGGTATTCAACAGAACAACCAAATATGAAAGAAGAATGAAAATAAATTTATTCATCTTAATTTTAATATTAAAATATTTTATAAAATAAAAATAAAAGCTTAATTTATTCAACATAACTGGCATTAAATGTAGAGTTGGACAAGCCGAGACCGATACCGAGACCGATACCGAGATTCTCGGCTTTTTTCCAATATCGGTCTCGATTTTTTCATTCTCGGTCTCGAAACCGATACCGATATTCTCGGCCCATTTCTCGGCGAGAAACGATACTGACTCAAAGACCCCAATTTTCTTGTATTTATTAATAAAACTGAGGATTTTTGACCTTTGGCCTTCTGAATTTCAAAAAATTTTCGCCTGCGGCGCTGAAAAGAGTGAGTCCTTCTTTATTTGCCTTACAAAATCCGACCAGTTCACTAAGCCCTCACGATTGAGTTCGCACGACTGAGTTGCTCTTTTATCTAGCTCAACTGAGTCTCAGTAATTTAATAAAATTAAAAGGCTTAAATACAATACTGGGTTATTTGGAGGGATTTGGGTGTTTAAGGGGATATCAATGGATTTGGAGGGATATCGAATGTTATATCTGGAAAGCTAATGGCGGATTAAGTGGACTTTAATTGTATAAGTAGACTATAATCCTTTTACCTATAAATCCTACTATTGTATTTTTTATAAAAAAGGATGTTAACCATCAATCGAATCGGATCCAGATGATGAAGAGTATTTATCTGATGATTCGGATGATGAAAATAATGAATAAATTATTTTTACACGTATTTTTTGACGTAAAATAAAATTTTCTGTTAGTCTCGGTCAGTATCGTTTCTCGGTATCGGTCTCGGCTCAAAATGTTGGTATCGGTCTCGGTATCGGGTTGTTGAGTATCGGTTAATCTCGGTCTCGGGTTGGCCGATGCCAGTATCGTTTTGCCCAACTCTAATTAAATGTCTTATTATAACTTCCGCTTTATCTTTGTATTAGTTTAAAATTTAGCCGTTAATTTGTAAAAATAAAAAAATGATGTAATGGGGAAATAATAGCACTTTCATTTCTATAGCTGAAATTCGATAATCTACTATAAAACTTGCAATTTTAGGATTTATTGCTCAGTTATAGAGTTGTCGGTTTCAAACCGATTTAATTGAATCAAAAACTGAAGATTTTCGGTTAGGTTTGTCGGTTAGGTTTCGGTTTTCTGAAAGTTTCGGTTTTATCGAAGAAAAATTTTTTGTGGATGATGAGCTATTCACTATCTTGTAGAATTTATAAATAAAAGGCTCATTAAATTTTTTATTCTTAAATTGGCTGCTTTTAAAACATTTCTTACAGCAATGGCGTTTAATTATTTATTTTTAATTTTTAAATTTAAAAATGAAAAAAAATAACGAAAATCATTAGCTATAAATAACCGACCCAAAGAATTTCTTAATTTTTTCCTCTTCTCTTTTTGTGTCCACATAGATATTTGCCAATAACAATTTCTACAATAAAGTGCAAAATTCTTAATTTTTGCCAAAATTTTATTTATTTTTTGTCAATTTTGTTGTGTTTCCTGTTGTTTTTATTGGGAAAAATTAAGAAATTTGCACTTAATGCCAAAATATGTTATTAAGAAATGTATGAGCATGAAAAATTAAGAATGGGAAAATATAAATTGTAAAGAGATTGGAAATTGCTTCTGGAACTAGAACTTTTCCAATTTTGTTTGTACAAATAGCTTCACTTGCAATAGTTTAATTAGTATGGAATCATCGCAATTATGATGCAATAATTTGTTATTTTGAATAAATTTGAGCATCTTTTTAGCGTAAATAAGTTTTGTTTATTAATTTTGTTGTAAATAGAATTATATAAACGTGTTATCTTTTCATAAATCTTTTATTTGAAATATTTTGTGTAATTGATTGAATTGTTTGTTTTTTTGAAGGTCATATTAGAAATATTATAATTGATTTTTTACATTAGAATACAACAGGTTCGCAATGAAAACTTGTCCATGAATTAATACATAAGTTGTCCTAAAATCAACAGTGTATGATACATAACATAAATATAAATTTAATTCTATTTTAAAATAATTTATTTATATTAATTAGATTCTTAGGCTTTTATTAATTACTTTGTAATCATTTATAGACATAAACTTCCGTCAAATTACCTAAAAGGCTCATTATCCATTATTAATGAAAATATTTCTTGAGGTTTATGATTATTTAAAATATTATTTAATAGATTAATAACACATTTAAATTTTTATTAATTATTTTACTAATTTTATTTTATTAATTTTATTTTATTAATTTTATTTTATTAATTTTCTATTAATGATTGAAACTTTTATGATGTTTTTACTGATAAAATTTACGATTTAGGATACTGATGAAATTTTCTAAATGATTTTATATAGATATGTATTTCAGGTTTCAGCTTCCAGGCGAACTTTTCAGGGAATTCCGCCACTGGAAGTCTCCGCATTTTAATAAATTGTTTAAATAACAGGTTTTCCTAAATTTTATATTAGATAAAAAAGTGTTATTTAAATAATAAAATGTTAGTATGATTAATGTAATTATGTAAAATATAAAAATTCTTGTGAAAAATATGTTTCTTTAGGAAATTTTTTGATCTGCAGAGATGTATTCTAACATTATTTTTCATAGATATAAAATTTCAAAATAACTTGAGTAAATAATTACCGTTTTGATCACTTTTAATTAACACAGTATAATAAAATTGAGTGCAAAAGATTGACTATGAAATTGATACGGCAGTTTTTGACAATAAAGATTTTAATGGTATTATCCATATTAACAACATCACTGCAGCTTGATAATAAAGTAATTTAAAGTAATTGTACAGCATTCTTATTTTAATTAATATTATTATTATACATACAAAAAGAATTTAGAATACAAAATAATTTTTTGTATGAGTTTTTTTATAGTCGAGATTAAAAAACATTCTGAGAAAGAATCTATTTTTGTAGACAAAAAACATCTCCTCTGATTCATTTGCTATCAAAAATTTTGTAAACAGCAAAAGCCGTGCCAAAAACACAAACACTAAGACTCAAAACACCAACATAAAAACCATAAAGGACCATACGGTTAGACACAAGCTTAAAACAATGTTTTTAATAAAAAATAACATCATATTAGAGAGATATAAAGTATTTAATACAAATTCCATAAAATTATGTAATATTTTAGTAAATATTTAGTAATTTTAGTAAACTCCTACTCATTTGATACTTTTCTATTCAAATAAATTTTTAATCTATCTGCTATCATTTCAATTTGGGTTATAGTAGGAGACGACATAATTTTCGAACTTCGTATCTAAATGTTTCATAACAGACAAAAAAATTTATTCTTTGATCTTTATTCTTTAATAAAGTATAGTTTACATAAAGCTCTTTTTCTAAACAATAAAAAATATTTCTCCTATATGCTTTTACAATAATTTATTAACAACACTTCCGGTACAAATTTAAAATAAATAATAATTTTTTTCTCAAAAAAAACTTTAAATTAAATTTTTTTCCTTTAAACTTTGACCTTTCGGTAAAGTCTTCTAAAAGACTATTTTATCTAAATTTACGGTTTTCGATGGGGTTAGTCTCCTAACTGATCAATTTTCTTGAAACTTTCAATAAAATTTAATTTTCCTTCCAGTCTTTACCTAAATTTTATTTCTAACATTAATAAAGGAATTAATTTTAAATTGGAAATTATTTAAATGAATTTTCTATAAAAAATTGGAGATTGAATTAAAGTAAATTTCGAACAAGTTAGAGCCATCAAATTTTGTAGAAATACCCACTTTATATTTATGCCTTGCTTTAGCTTTTACAATTATTTTATTGCTCCGCATTATTGTTACATCGTTCTATAGGAAATTTATATAATTTTGTATAAGCCTTAAATGTAAAATTAAAATATTATTACAATTATAAAAAGATATTAATTTAAATTATATTAAATATAAGTTAAATATAATAATTTATATTTATATTAATTACCTGTGAAAGATAACTCGAAACTGTTCCATAATTTTCATGATACGTGCTATTAATTTCTTCTTTTAATTTTTATCAAGTTATCCCAATCAACTGCAATTGCTATTTATAAGATAATAATTATTCAGTTAAAGCTTTTATATAATAATTTAATTTTTAAATTATTTGTGGAAATTAATAAAAATTAAGCTAGATTGTTTTGCCATTTATAAATATATTGTCACGTATCGTCCTCAGAAAATTTAAAATGTCTGGTAAACATATCATAAATTATTAAATTTAAGATTAATTTATAATAAGTTTATAATTATTTTATTAAATTATTAATTAAATTCACCATATTATTTTAAATATATATTTTTTTGTTGGTGATATTTTGGCTGACAGTGAGGAACAGCACCTAGAAAAATTATTTTATTGTTGAAATGTTAAAAAATAATTTAAAATATTTTTGTTTTTCTTAAATACCACATACATTCGAATATTTCACTTTTTTATTTTAATAAATTCTTAATTTTCACCTTGAAGCATTAGTCCACTTTCAACTTGAAGTCGTTTTGACTTATATACTTTTTGCATTTTAAATGATTTAAATATAAACAACACGTTTTCTACATTCAAGCTTAGTCTGTCCATTAATTGATGAATAACTATTTCTAACGTATTTTTGTTGCTCTTTCAAAAAACCAATCTTGATTTCTCTAATAATTTTTACTAATACAATTTTATTCAAGTTTATTTTTTATTTAAATTATTTATTAATTTATTTTTTTATTAAAATAATTCCTTCCTTTTTATTTAACAAAAGTTAATGTTATTTTTAATTTTATGCAACTCTCGTATATTAAAATAATTTACTCGTTAACCCTGATGTTTTATAATTACTTATATTTAGATTTTTGAGGTTACTTCAGATCTTTGCAATAATTTCTATTTTATTTTTCAAATGTTTTTTATATTTTATAATTAGAGACAGGATTTTAGGCAAAATGCCTGTTTTTTTCCTAAATAGGCCTGATGCTGAAACGTCCAAATCAGGCGTTATTTTTAAGAAATATGCTTTCAAACAACTTTTATCGTTGCCTAAAATTGCCTATTTTAACTTTTTCTGTCATAATGCCCTATTTTGCCTTTTTTTCAGCCTATTTTGCATATTTTTACTAAAATTTGCGAATTTTTTGGTATTTTTTGAGAAATTTGCTGAATAAAAATTATTTTTTGGTAAAAAATACATAATTTTTCAAAAAATTTTTGTCAAAAAATTTTTTTGGAAAAAATTTTCATCCAAAAAATTTATCAAATTATTTTTGGAAACAAAATAATTAATATAAATCAATTTATATGTAATTCTGATCGTTAAAATTAATTTATTTAACAGTTTTTTGCTTAGATTTATCTTTTTTGATAAAATTTAGTCAATTTAGATCAGAAAATCTCGAAAAAATACTGCCTATTTTGCCTTTTTTTCGGATTTTAGTGCCTATTTTGGCAGTTTGTTAGTGCCTATATAGGCGCCTATTTTTAACTTTATCGTGCCTAAAAATCCTGTCTCTATTTATAATTGTTGCAAATTTGTTTGCCTTATTCACACGATTCCATTTGTTATATAGTCGAAAAAGTCCATTAAGCAAAAGCCTTCCGTTAAGACCAGTGTTTTATGAAAATCGACGGCTTTTTTGTTGACAACGTGGTACTTGCGTGAAACCATAACTGCAAAAAAATAAAAAATTTAAAAAAAAATTTAAAAATTTAAAAAAATGAAAAAAATTCATTTAAAATTTTTTATTCATATTGGAAAAATTTTTTCATTGATTTTTTTACAAAATTTTAAAAGTTGATATTTGATTAAATTATAATAATACATACAAATCATAGTTATAATCTTCATGCACTTTTGAGGTGTCACCTATTTTCGCTTATACACTTAGAATCTTGCGCAAATATAATTTCTCATCTACTACGTTTATATTTACATTTTCCATTTTAATTTTTGATATTTATAAGTTAACTTTTTGTTATAATGTTTGTTTACTTTATTTTTTCAATTTAATTTTATTTTAAGACATTTATATTGTTTTGACCTTTTTAACACTTCTTTTAATTTTTTACTGCAGAAGCAATCTCTTGCAGCTATTCTTGCTGTAGCAGAATATAATTTTTGAGCTTTTATAATTAAAATACAATATTCTCATCCAAAAATAATTCTACTCAATTATAATGACGTTTTCATTGTCAATATATATTCTACATATATTATTTTTTAAGACTATATATTTACTTATATTTTTATTCATTTTTATTAAAATTTTAATTATAAAAACTTCTTAGTATCTAATAAAATATTTTAAATTTATTAAAATAATAAATTATTTATATACATAATCCACATCTATAACTACATTTTCAAATTTTTGTTATTTTGCTTATGTAAATTTTTTTAAATTAATCATACTAATTTTTAACTTTTTCAGACAATCAAAAAGAATATATGATGTTGGAAGATAAATCCAAATACTATATCAGAAATGTAAATTGATTTTATAATAATGATTATCTTTCTTTTAAGCTTGCTCTTAGATATCTTTGCCATATGAAGAGTTTTATTAAAAATTATCACTAAAATAAAAACGATTTATAAATAATCAAATATTCGGCAAATTATTAAGAATCTCAGATGTTCCCATGCTGCTTTTTCAAATCCTTACCACTAAATTAGAAAAATTTTATTTCACTATCCTAAATATTTTTTAAAAACTTTGTGAAGCTGCTTTTATTATTTTATTTTTATTAATTTATTCGTTAAAAATTATATCTTATACAGGGTGACAAAAAAGTAATTGGACACTTTTCTATCCTTTATAACTTTTTTTGTTCGATACATTTTTAGATGATTCCAAGTTTATTTTGTAGCCCATTTATTTCTCTATCAAATAGTAAAATTAAAAATTTTTCGATTAAGGATTAAGAAAGTTATGTAATTTTAGGTACACCATATCAAAATTTTCCCCTCAAAATTTTGATTTTTGTATCTCAGAAAGGAGAAGTCCAAACGGGATGATCTCAACAGAATTTAATTAAGACTATTAGCGAACCGGACAAATCTGAAAGATGAAAATCCAAACTCCTACATGGATGGCTCTGAGTAGATGTAAATCAGTTTTGGGGGGAATGCGATTCTCTCATTTTGGGAGGGTTACGCGCAATCGAATATCTCTTTAGGCGTTAATCTAAAAAATTTTTTGCTTTATAATTTCTATAGATGAAAGACTGCTCTACATGCCAAAAAATTTTGTGTAATTCCTCCAATCTGTTCTAATGTTATAGGCAAAATGCCTCAAAAAAAGGTGCGACCTGGAGCAATAATTTTTCTCACTTTCCTTTAACCTTATCTCAAAATAGAATAGGAATAATTCTATAAGATTTTTATATCTTATTCTCCATTTAATTCTCTATAATTTCATCTTTATTTGATCTCATTATCTTTAATTTAAATAAAGTTATGGCAAAAATAAAGTGTCCAATTACTTTTTTGTCACCCTGTATATACATATTGTGTATACTTTAAATTAAATAATACAATATAAAATATGTTATATCATTATACTATTTTTTGTTATATTTTGCTTTTTCTAAATGTTAATTAGGTTATTAATCCCACTTGATGTCCATAAGGAATGAATTCCACTTCGATTGGGAAATCATCTTTCATTAAATCAATTTCTCTAATAACATATTCATTCAATTGCAAAAGTTTACTCTGCGGGCACATCTTTCAAAAATATTGATTAATTTACTAATAATTAATTAATAATTAATTTGATAGTGTTAAATAATTAATCAAATTTATTTTTATTTATTTATTTTAGTTGGGGTATATTCAACAATTTTTATTGTTGTTCTATCTTTCTACATTAAATATCTCTGTTTTTTCCGAACTTTTTTACTTATTTTAGCTAAAAATATAATAATATATTTTTCTATTTAAGATAAGTAATAATAATCTAGATAATTGCTTAGAAATTATTAAAAACAATAGTAGTAAATTAGTAATTTATAAAGCATTTAGAAGATCTGAGGTTGATTTAAAATTTAATTTAAAAGTACAAAGTCATTAATTATTGAAATACAAAAGATGCTCGTTTATGGCGTGTTTATCGTTGATCATAAGTGTAGTCACTTGTTGTTATCGAACCTTAAACGTATTATATACGACCAAACAATGCTTTTACTACATCTAAATTTAATTTATCTATCCAAATTTCTATAAAATATTTTTATATAAAGTAAGCATCATTATATGTTATTCAATTAATAGTCTCATTTATAGAGGTTTTGTTATTTATTATGATTCATTTTTCAATATATTCTTTCATTATTATAACTTTGATTACATATGTATGCCTACGAATACCATTGGGGAAATAATTTATTTTTCAATAAACATATTGTAAATTTATTATAAATAAAAGAAAACTTGCTTTACACAGCCGAGAGTAGTATGAATCTGACAATTGGTGTAGCTATTCGTTATGAACTCAGGAAATGAAACCTGAACACAACTATCATGTTAGTACTTTCGACATATTGGTTAACTTTTGGGTTTTGTGATGTATCGTTTAAACTATTGATGAATATAATTAATATTTTTTTAAATAAATTATACAGTTATCTAATTTTTCGACTTTTTATTTTCTAAAAAATATGTAAATTTTTCAATCAATTCTAAATAAGTTAAATTAGTTATATGCAGATTTTATGATGAAAATAAAATATTTGTTTAATTATTAAAATATCTTTACTTTCCATGCTTGATCTTAAGTTATTATCTATATAAAAAATAATTTATTATAAATTTAATATTTCTTTAAGCTTATTTTAGTTGATGCACATTGTGCTACATATGTCACAATTTCATCATGTCTATAATATTCGTAATAAAAATTTTTTAAATTTAAATGTTGTAATTGTAAAATTTTGCTAATAATGAATTGTAATTATTTATGCTTCATTTAAATAAAATTTTAATTTTGTTTTACGATCGGCGAAGATACATAAAAAGAATGAAACATAAAAAGGAAAAAAGCTCATTGCTCTTCGAAAATTGTCAAAATGATGATGTAAATTTTGCAAAAAAATGATAAAAAATAATGTAAATGCAAAAATTTAGGCAACGGGGTAGGTTGTTGTTCAAATGACGGAAAGGTTTTTCAGATGATGGGAAAGTTTATTCAATGATGGGGATTTTGTTCCAACAATGAAGATGTTGTTCAAATGACGAATGTTGTTCGAACAAAGATGAACATTTTTCCAACAACTTAGGATGTTGTCCGCATTTTTTAAACTATTGTCACTCTAGTGGCCCGATCTCTACTGGCTTACTTTGTTGTGGCTCAGCTTTCTATTGAGCGATCTCTAGTGGCGCACTTTAATGGCGGCACTCTAATTTCCCGTTCCGTGGCTTGAGGAACGCTTCATCTATTACTCGCTCAACTCCAAATCCCCTTTGTCAGCGATCTACCCTAATCCCATGTGACCACCTTATTGAGAAGCCATGCCCCCTTTTGGCGCCTTGAAATGGTGACCCATTCCTCACTATTACATTATGTTGAAAAATTCAAGAAACTAAATAAAATCATTATGAAAGTATTATAAATTGTTGTAAAAAGTTTTGTTCAAATTTGTTCGTTTATGATAATATCTCATTTAATCATTAAAGAAATTTTTTCTTAAAAACATTATATATGCACTTTAGTAAAGCTTACCATTAGTCTAAAGGTTATGATTAGTCTGTACCATTTTGTACCTTATTTAATGTTGATCATTTCAAAGCCATCTACATAAATAAGACCTTTTTATAAAATTAAAAATCATAATCGGAGTAATAAAATATAAAATTTTTTGAATTTATGTCTTTTAATTTATGTTCAGTCACAGATTAAATTTGTTCAAATTGGCTAATTGCATTTGGACTGATAGTTATTCCAAATTACATTCCAAATTACTCTAATTTCCTGATAGACACTCTAATTTCCTAATAACTCTAAACAACTAATCGTTGATTTTATTGTTTTTATTTTTCCATTTCTGTTTATACCCCAAATAATACAGAAATAATTTACTTATCAAACTCCGATAAAACAGAGTAATGTAAGCTTCTAGCACAACTGGCAGTATCTTCAGAACCCCGAAATCTGAACTCGATACTTAAGTTATATTTCATTTAAAAGAATGAATTTTATGAATACTTGTATTCATAAAAGATGATTAATTTTCAGATGATTAAATTTATTATTCCCTTAATTATTCTGTTTGACATTAAATGCAATGGAAAATCAGTTAGAGTTGGAGTTAAAATAAAAGGTGAATGGGATGAAAAAAGGGAATTTATTTATTTAAAAAATCTTGAAATAAAAAAGAGATTTGTATTGGAAAAAATAATGAAAAGAAATAATCAACATGATATTAGCTATTGCTATAATATAAAAGGATCCTTACATCGAATTGCACTAAACCGTAAAGGAAATATTTTTTATGTTGAACTAGATGATAGATCTGAGTTTACTGTTGTATTGAAAAGGAAAGTCTTGATTAAAATTCGCAATAGTAAAATTATTCAAAATATTTTACAAGGATTTGAAAACCGGGTATTTTTTATTAGATAAGATCTTAATAACATTCTACTT